ACTGCAAAGTGCAGTGTGAATGCAAACGCACCAGCTCAAATGTAACAAAAGGTCATGAATATTGGTCCCAAACCGAACCGAGTCTACCGGACTATCTAGTGTGAAAACGACCTTAGATGCAGATCACATGGTTTTGTATACTGCACAGGTCCTTCTAAAAAAATTAGCATATTGTGATAAAAGGTAATTATTTTCCATAATGTAATGATAAAAATGAAACTTTCACATATTTCAGATTCATTGCACACCAACTGAAATATTTCAGGTCTTTAATTGTTTTAATACTGATGATTATGGCATACAGCTCACGAAAACCCAAAATGCCTGTCCCAAAAAATTAGCATATCATGAAAAGGTTCTCTAAACAAGCTATTAACCTAACCATCTGAATCAACGACATAATTCTAAACACCTGCAAAAGATTCCCGAGGCTTTTAAAAACTCCCAGCCTTGTTCATTACTCAAAACCGCAATCATGGGTAAGACTGCCGACCTGACTGCTGTCCAGAAGGCCATCATTGACACCCTCAAGCAAGAGGGTAAGACACAGAAAGAAATTGCTGAACGAATAGGCTGTTCCCAGAGTGCTGTATCAAGGCACCTCAGTGGGAAGTCTGTGGGAAGGGAAAAGTGTGGCAGAAAACGCTGCACAACGACAAGAGGTGACCGGACCCTGAGGAGGATTGTGGAGAAGGGCCGATTCCAGAACTTGGGGGACCTGTGGAAGCAGTGGACTGAGTCTGGAGTAGAAACATCCAGAGCCACCGTGCACAGGCGTGTGCAGGAAATGGGAAAAGGTGCCGCATTCCCCAGGTCAAGCCACTTTTGAACCAGAAACAGCGGCAGAAGTGCCTGACCTGGGCTACAGAGAAGAAGCACTGGACTGTTGCTCAGTGGTCCAAAGTACTTTTTTCGGATGAAAACAAATTTTGCATGTCATTCGGAAATCAAGGTGCCAGAGTCTGGAGGAAGACTGGGGAGAAGGAAATGCCAAAATGCCAGAAGTCCAGAGTGAAACACCCACAGTCAGTGATGGTCTGGGGTGCCATGTCAGCTGCTGGTGTTGGTCCACTGTGTTTTATCAAGGGCAGGGTCAATGCAGCTAGCTATCAGGAGATTTTGGAGCACTTCATGCTTCCATCTGCTGAAAAGCTTTATGGAGATGAAGATTTCATTTTTCATCACAACCTGGCACCTGCTCACAGTGCCAAAACCACTGGTAAATGGTTTACTGACCATGGTATTACTGTGCTCAATTGGCCTGCCAACTCTCCTGACCTGAACCCCATAGAGAACCTGTGGGATATTGTGAAGAGAAAGTTGAGAGACGCAAGACCCAACACTCTGGATGAGCTTAAGGCTGCTATCAAAGCATCCTGGGCCTCCATAACACCTCAGCAGTGCCACAGGCTGATTGCCTCCATGCCACACCGCATTGAAGCAGTCATTCATGCAAAAGGATTCCCGACCAAGTATTGAGTGCATAACTGAACATGATTATTTGAAGGTTGGAGTTTTTTGTATTAAAAACACTTGTCTTTCATTGGTGGGATGAAATATGCTAATTTTTTGGGACAGGCATTTTGGGTTTTCATGAGCTGTATGCCATAATCATCAATATTAAAACAATTAAAGACCTGAAATATTTCAGTTGGTGTGCAATGAATCTGAAATATATGAAAGTTTCATTTTTATCATTACATTATGGAAAATAATGACCTTTATCACAATAGGCTAATTTTTTGAGAAGGACCTGTATATCAGACCCTCTTACCAGCATTCCTGAATTACTTACTTTGCTTCAAAAATTCGGGAAAATATCTGGCTATACGGTTACTCTTCAAAAGTGTGAGCCGATGCTTGTGACCTTTATGGAAAAGAAAATCTTAGACACCGTAACTTTTAAAATTAGTTTTAAAAAGTTTAAATACCTTGGCATTTGGGTAACTTGAGATCATAAGAAACTCTATAAAACAAACTATCTACCTCTCATGGCAAACCTTAAGCAGGACATAGTTAGATGGCAATCCCTACCTCACACTCTGGGGGGTAAAATAAACTCTGTAAAAATCAATATCCTACCTAAATTTCTATACCGGTTTCAGAATCTGACAATCGTCCTTACTAAATCATTCTTTATCAATTTGAACAGCCAGCTATCAGTGTTTATTTGGAATAAAAAGCATCCACAAGTTGCTAAAAGGGTCTTGCATCTGCCCTGCAGGTTTGGAGGCATGTCACTTCCTAATTTCATGCACAATTACTGGGCAGCCAATATCAGAGCTCTACTATTCTTGTTGAGTAAGGATATCACTTCTTCTAGTTGTGTGGCTTTGGAGAGGGCCTCATTTAAATCCAGTTCCCCCTCTGCATTACTCTGCTCTCAGCTGCCTTTTAGTCAATATCAACCTACACTTCTAATCCAAGTGTGATCTAGATGGTTAAGATCTGAAATCAGTTTAGTAGGACATTTAACTCTACAGAGTTACTGTTTCTGGCACCTGTGTCAAATAATCATAGGTTTACTCCCTCAGTAGCTAATACCGTTTTAACACCTGGGTCTTGAGTGTAGTACATTCACTGTGACCTCTATGTTGATGGTAGATTTGCCTCATTTGAACAGCTGGTACAGAATTTTAATATCCACAAGTCACAGTTTTTCAGATATTTGCAGCTTAGACATTTTGTGAGGTCTAACTCTGATTGTTTTCCTCTGTACCCCTCTAAACATTTTGTGATTAAGATTTTGGAATGCAGGTCTGACACTAAGGGGGCCCTCAGCAATATCTATACACTGATCAGTTCATACCATGAGACCATTTTGGACTCCCTTAAATTGAAATGGGAAACGGACATGGAGGAATCCATTTCAGACTCAAGCTGGAGAAAGATCATTAAGAACATTTACACATCTACTGAAATTCAATTCAAGGTAGTGCACCAGCTGCACTGGTCCAAAGACAAGCTGTCCAAGATCAAAGCTGACCTGGACTCTGCATGTAATCATTGTAAACAAACTCCAGCTACACTCCTGCACACATTCTGAAACTGTCCCAAAACTGCAGAACTTTTGGCAATCTATTTTTGTCACCTTCTCTATGTGGGAAAATTATACCTTGAAAACATCACCATGAAAAACATCACCATTCATATCACTGTTTAGGTGGTCCCTGTGGATACATCCATCAGCAAGTATGAGAAGGATGTGATTGCTTTTGTCCCTCTTCTGGCTAGAAGACTGGTTTTGTGCAATTGGAAGGATCCACACCCCCCAGCATATGTACATTGGATAAGAGAAGTCATGTATCCTATTCATCTCGAAAAAAGCAGATATACCCTGAAAGGTTAAAAGATTTTGGGACACGTGGCAGCCTTTTGTGTTGTATGTGGAAAACATGTCAGTGCCTGTGTAATTCATTTTAATTCATTTATGTATGTGTGACTGATCTGGTGTAGGAGTGGAGGGGTGGGAGGGTTTTTTGTTTTCTTTTTTTGTGTTTTGTATGTTCAAAATGAAAAAAAAAAAAGACTTTGATTTTAAAAAACAATACCACTGGAGGGAATGACCTTTGACCCGGGCAGCCACCACTAATTTTATGTTGTTTCATTTCATTTCATTTCATTTCATTTATTTATTTAAATTAGGACAATGCATATTAATCAACATGTCAGCAGTAAGCATCAATGTAAATATGCTGGAGTTAGCACAACAGCTAATTTTCATCCATTGTCCTAAGGCAGGTAAGAACAAGAAACATCCCACAAAACAGATAACAGAGAATAATACAAACATCACCAGTATAACACATAACACAACATGAAATTACAATAAAGATATGATGCCATAAGAAAATAGACAATCTACACAAGTGCACCTCTGGTTAGTTTTCAGCCAAAGTTTTAAAGAGTTTTTAAAGCTGGAGTAGGTGTCACAGTTCCTGCTAGAAACTCGCAGTTTGTTCCACCACTGCGTGCCTCTGATGGACACCACCATTTGGCCAAATTTAGTCCTGCGCCGCTGTACATCACAAGCTCCTCTGGTCAGTGTGCTTGTGTTTACTGTATTACTTGTTTTTTTTACTTATAAAATACATTAAAGGAGGAGCCAGTCCATTTACAACTTTAAAAATCAGGCAAGCATCCATAAAAATCTGATAGCTATCAAAATCCAGAATGTTGTACTTACTTATGATGTTACAATAATGATACTGTAAAAGCTTTTTGTCGAAAATGTTCAGTGTTTTCTTAAAAAGAGACTTTAGGGGCTTCAAAATGCCTCTGAAGTGTGAGACCATGTTGTATAACAATAGGCTATATGTCTGAATATAATGGCATGCATGTAAGCCTTTGCTGATTCTGTTGTCAGAGAAGGTCTTGTATGTTTCAAGTTTGACAGATTAAGTTTAATTATGAGTGAAATTCTCTTTACATGCTGCTTGAAATTTAGATTGCAATCAAAAATTACTCCAAGGTATTTAAATTGTTCAACCACATCTAATGTCTCGCCATTGACTAACACAGATGGTTGCTCATTATCTGCTGGCAGCCGAGAGAAAAACATGGACTGTTTTTTTAATGTTGAGATGTAGACAAGAGTCCTGGAGCCAGTGAGACACTGTCATCATAGCACTAAAAAGTACAGCAGCAGCTTCATTTTTTTGTTTTTCCATGAACATACAATACAGTATCATCTGCATATAATTTAATTTTTAAAGTTTTGCAGACATTTGGTAAATCATTAACATATAGGCTAAATAAGGTTGGTCCCAGAACTGAGCCCTGTGGGACTCCAGCTGAGCAGGTAAGAAAGATAGTGAGTTTTCTATTTGTACTGCTTGTTTTCCGTCAGACAGGTATGATTTCCTCCAGCAGAGGGCACTATTATTGTTAGAGGAGTTTTGTACCCTTGTCCACCTGAGACCAAAGTGATCCTGATGAGGACTTGAACAAATGTGCCAGACCTGAACAGGGTCCAGGCCAGGAGGAGGGTCAGGTCTCACCTTGCACTCCTCATCCAGCAGGTCCAGTATCCCGAGTCGGGCCTCGATCAGGTCGATGCAGGGCTGGTTGTCGTAGAAGTCGATGAGGGTCCAGGGGATCTGCTCCTTCATGTACTCCTCCTGCTCCAGTTTAAAGACATGCTGAGAACACAGAGGGCAGGACCAGGAGGACCATGAGGACCACTGAGATCATAAACAAAGAAACTGGACCGCATGGTTCGGACAGGTTCTAGAGAACTCACAGAGTTGAACTGCTGTTGCAGCTTCTCGTTGGCGTAGTTGATGCAGAACTGCTCGAAGCTGTTCACCTCGAATGTCTCAAACCTGCAGAGAAATAAACACCCATCTAATGATCCGAACCAGACCCAGAACCTGAACCGGGCTGGGACCGCAGCGTCATACCCATAGATGTCCAGGACTCCGATGAAGGAGTGCTGCTTGGAGGAGGTCTGCAGGACTTTGTTGATGTGTTCCACAATCCAGTCGAAGAGCCGTGCGTAGATGTGCTTGGCGAGTGCGTCACGGGCGTTGACTGCCTGTCTGCAGGACATGGTCTTCACGTAGGTCTCAGACGCCGTGGCCAGTTTCCTGTGGCACAACCAGTGCTCCATCTGCTGCAGCTCCACCCCCAACAGCCTGCAGAAGTGCTTCAGGTGGACGTCGCTTCTCTGACATACAAAGACGTCTCGTCAGAGAGCTCAGAGAAACCAGCGGAACATCAGAGATGGCTGGTCCACATACCAAGAGACGGCAGGACTCTCCATCACGCTCTGCCACGATCTCCACATTCCCCAGGTGGAGGATGGAGGCCAGAACCTTAAAGATACTGCTCTGACTGCTCTCTTTTACACCTGCAAACATGGACCACAGGTCTCACCAGGGTTCAATGATCCACTGGTTCTGGTTTACCTGAACCCGTTTCACAGACTTAGAAATTTGCAGCTCAGGAGGAGACTGATGATGAGACAGATGAGAACACTCAGGGGACATAAAGTCCAGATTAAAACCAGTATGATGACATTAGAGATGTTGGGTGGAGATTAGGACATATTACACGTGGTGGAAACATCCTCAGGTCCACATCAAAAAGATGTACATTAAAACTAAAATAACTATGTCCAAAAATGAGCAGATTTTAGAGCATAAAAAAATATACAAAGGGATTAAGTATGGTCAGGACTGATTTTGTTCCCCTCAAAGTGACTAATTCTTCTACTTCGTAACTGTAATCTGATTAGATTAAAGGTTCTCTCACTAACTGTTCTCTGACTGAATTAAGGGATCCCAAGGTAACTGTAAACTGAATAGATAAAAAGTTTCCTTCTGTAACTGTAATCTGATTGGATTAAAGGTTCCTTCAATAACTGTAATCTGACTGGATTAAAGGTTCCTTCAGCAACTATAATCTAACATGATTAAAAGTTCACTCAGTAACTGTATTCTGACTGGATTAAAGATTCACTCAGTAACTGTAATCTGACTAGATTAAATGCTTCCCTCAGTAACTGCAATCTGACTGGATTAAATGCTTCCCTCGGTAACTGTAATCTGACTGGAGAAAAGGTTGTCTCAGTCATTTTAATATGACTGGATTAAAGGTACCTTCAGTAACTGTAATCTCACTGGAATAAAGGTTCTTTGAGTAACAGTAATCTGACTTGATTAAAAGGTTATTTATTAACTGTAATATGACTGGATTAAATGTTCCTTTAGTAACAGTAATTTGAATTGAGAAAAGATTCCCTCAGTAACCGTAATCTGACTAGATTAAATGCTCCCTCAGTAACTGTAATCTGACTAGATTAAAGGTTCCTTCAGTAACTGTAATTGGACTTAATTAAAGGTTTTCTCAACCACTGTAATCTGGCTGGATTAAGAATTCCCTCAATTACTGTAATCTGACTGGATTAAAGGTTTCCTCAGTAACTGTAATACAATATGATTAAAGGTTCAATCATTAACTGTAATCTGACTGGATCAAATGTTCCCTCAGTAACTGTTATCGGACTGCTGATGCTTTTTTCAAAAGGAAGTCGGTCCCAGCAGTTCTTCCTCCGATTTTATCTTCAAATGGTGCCCCTACTGAGTTTGTTGATTCCTATAAATATTTGGGTATCTTGGTCGACTCGCATCTCTCTTTTAAGATCCACATAGAAAACCTATTAAAAAAAATGAAAGTTAAACTGGGTTTCTTTCTCAGAAAAAGATCCTGTCTAACTCTGAATGCTAGAAAACACCTTGTATCTGAGACTTTCCTTCTTCACATCTTCATCCCTGAAGAAGTGACCTCTGGCCTGGAGATGAGTGTAGACCGTAGAGTCCTGGCCTGATGATGTTGATCTTCTGTGCTGGTCCATCCTTTTGGCCAATGGCTGTTTAGTTTCCCCGATGTAAGACTGATCACAGCCCTCCTGACACTGAACAGCATACACAATATTACTCTGTTTGTGCCGGGGGACTGGATCTTTGGGATGAACCAGTCTTTAATGTATTTTGGGGTTTAAAAGCCACTGGGACATTATGTTTAGAAAATAAACGTCTCAGTTTCTCTGATACTCCCTCAACATATGGAATGACCACTGGTCTGGGTCTGAGTTCCTCCTTTTCACCTAATGGGTGACTGGAGTCCTGTTTGGGTTTCTTCTCTGCTTTCAGGAAGGCCCAGTTAGGATATCCACATTGCTCTAGAGCCTGTCTTGTGTGGGATTTCTCCTTCTGCCTGGCTCCTGAGTTAATGGGGATGCTGTCTGCTCTGTGGTACAGAGTCCTGATGACTCCTAACTTCTGCTCCAAAGGGTGATGGGAGTCAAACTGCAAATACTGGTCTGTGTGGGTGAGTTTGTGGTACACCTCAGTTTGCAAATGTCCTCTATCAGAGACTGAGACCTCGCAGTCCAAGAAAGCCAACCTGCCATTTTTTACATCGTCTCGTGTGAACTTGATTTATTTATCCATAGAGTTGATGTGGTCAGTGAAATGTTGGACTTCCTGAGATTTAATGTTAACCCAGGTGTCGTCAACATACCTGAACCAATGACTTGGTGGTGTCCCTGAAAAGGACGTCAAGGCTCTCTTTTCTACCTCCTCCATGTACAGGTTGGCAACAATAGGAGAAACTGGAGACCCCATAGCACACCCATGTTTCTGCCTATAATATTGCTCCCCATATGTGAAGTAGGTTGA